CAGACACAACAATTCCTCTCCAGGCCTGGCAATCAAGGACACCTCAGTGCCTCAGGCCAGAGAGATGGGAACAAAAGTGAGTTGGGGGAGCAAACTTGGGGTCAGTGACTTCATTACCTGCAGCTGGAATTGGGAAATTAACCCCCAATATGCAAATGGGCCAAACTTATAAAATAATAAAAAACCCACGACCCATGGTACATTTTTGGGTGTAGCCCTGCAGGGCTTTGTATGCTCTGAATGTACTGAATATCCTTAAAAAAAAAAAAAAAACAAAAAAACCCAAAACTGCATTTTATTGCCTTGATTTTGTTTAGGCTCTGTTTTTAGGTAAGCCCATCAAGGCATCAGTGTGACACCCTTCTTTTTGAGCCTCTGAGGGGGCTGTGGGGAGGGATTCTCCAGGCAGGGAGCCGTGCTGTGAGGGATGTGTGTAATTATAGGGTTGCTGTTCCCACAGACAGCTTGTCATGCAGCACGAGCCATGGGTGCTGCCTCAGCTCTGCCATCTGCCGTGGTTGCCCTCTTCCCTGCCTACTCCCCGTACAAGAATTGTGGTTTTCTCCATCCTGCTGAGCTCCCTGCACAGCCCATCCCCTCCTGCCGCTGGCAGCAGGCTGCTGGGGAGCCCTGACCTGGGTGTCACTCACTCCCCACTCAGAAATCTCTCGTTCTAATGAAGAAACCAAACAAAGTGAGATTTAAAGGAAGTGTCATCAGCCTGAAGTGCTGCTGAGATAAAAATCCCTCTTCTCCCTGCCTGTGGGAATTGGACTCAAAAAATTCAAGCAGATTTTCAGCCTGCTGTTGTGTGTAATGCAATTTACCCCTCCTTCATAATGAAAAACGTTTGGATAAACTTTCAAAAACCTATTTTGGTGGCTGGTTAGATGACTTCAGAAGTCCCTTCAACCCCAAACTATTCAATGACCCTGCGGAAGGTTGAAAGCAAAGCCTGACAGATTGAACATTTTGAAGGATGCCTTTCCTACTTGGGTTCAACACTCCAGCAAAGAGGAGAACAGCATGACTGGAGGCGAGGAGGAGAGTGGGGAGAGTGACTAACGAGCAGGAATCAGCAGCAGAGCAGCAGCCTGTGCTGCACCTGCCCAGACAGCCCGAGGCCAGCCAGGGCCCTGCATCCTGGGCACGGCATGGGGAGCACCATATGCTCTGCAAGGCTGAGAGCAGCATCCCACACTGCCCTGCAGACGGGGGAACAGCCCTGCCCTTGAGGAAGGTCAAAGAGGAATTTTGGAAGATGGGCAGCTCCAGAGCGCAGGATTTTGTTTAAAGCACGGTGGGTTTGTGGTGGTGAGGCACTGAGAGTGTTCTCAGGGACATGACGTGCAGGAAGGGCTCTGGCACAGCCAGAGTGGGAAATTCTTTAGAGCAGAAATGAGGATTGATAGGGTTGCATGAAATTTAAAATAAAAAGCAACTCAGCAAATTTGGCACTTGGGATGCAGATTTTGGATAGCTCCTGTTTTCCTCTGTGCACTATATCCATGTTTTAGGTTGTGTTTGAAGGAATTATTTCAAGCAGGGATGCAGCTGAATGACAACACAAAACAGCCTCTGTTAATGCTGTTACCATGTGTACAAGCTATGTAATGCTGCTTTTTTCCCTCGTAAATGTATTTTCTTCCCAGTTTTGCGTTTCCCTGATTGGCTGGGATAAAATAGAAGAAGATGCAGTGTGTGATAGATTTAACAACCTGTGGGATGCAGGGTGAGGCCCCTTCTCCAAGCCAGACAGGACATTATTGTCTTTCCTGTGTTTTGTTTTCCTTTCTTTTTGTTCAAGTGAATACATCTGGAGGATGAAGGATGGGTCAGTTCCCTGACTTGCTTTTCTGCCTAAGTCAGGGAGAGAATCCATGGGAATTAGGGAGAATTCAGAGATCCATGGACAGAAAATCCCCTGGTCAGGGTGGCCTCTTCCCAGGATTTCCATCTGCTTCCTCCTTCAGGTCTCTTCCTTTAACAGGAACATGAAATGAGGGTTTTGAATGACCCAAGTGTGTGCCTTTTATTTTTGCTTGGTCAATATATTGGAAATACTCAAGGCCAGGTTGGATGGGGCTTGGAGCAGCCTGGGAGGTGGCAGGGGGATGGAATGACATGACCTTTAAGGACCCTTCCTATAGGAAAATGTAACAAACCCTGGATCCAGGGAAGAAATTATGATGTCTGGCTGCAGATCAGAAGGATGAAGGATAGCTTTATTAAAACTACATTATATTAATATACTATTTAAAGAGATACTAGCCCATTCTACATACTCACTTCTTACTTACCCATCTAGGTAACTCAAACTCGTGACTCTATGCTGAGAGCACAGCTGGATCCACTGGTCACTGACCCCAAAGAACTTCACCAGAATCCAACCCGGCCATCACTGCAGGTGAACAATCTCTGGTCACTGACCCCAGACAACTTCACCAGAATCCAGCCCAGCCACCACTGCAGGTGAACAATCCCTACACCACATTCCACATGGGCAGAACCAAGGAGCAGAGATAAAGATTGTTTCCTCTTCTTCTCTCTGTGCTCCTCCTGAGGGACAGAATTGTGTGAATAATTCTCATGTGAATGTCACACCTTCCAACCCAGAGCATGCCATGATTCCATGTCTGTGTTGGGAGCTGGAAATCAGCAGGAATTTGCTGCTGGCACGGAGGGGGTGAAGCAGCCAGATACCCCTGACACAAAGGACATCAGCACCCCAAAGCCAGGTAGGACATGAGGGCTCAGCTGGAAAAACTCCACCAGAATCACAAAAGCATTTTGTGATTCTATTTGGTGGCAACTGCAAAATGTTTTGCATAAACACCTTTTCTTTCTTCCTGCCTAAATGTGAACATATCCAGATCAATCACCAAGCTCAAAAATCTTCCTGGTTCTTTTGTGAACATCCTGCTTTGTTATTCCTTTCATTTGTCTTGAACAGAACAAGCCAGCACGGAGAAAATAACTTATTGTGGATGATCAGAAAGACCTTTTCTCCCTTGCTTTTCAAACAGCAGTACACAGAAATTGAATGTTGTCTGTGCACAGAGTTGCTGTTTTCCATATATAACCAAGGTGTCACGTAGCTCATTATTTCAGGGAAAAAAATCAGTGTCAACAACCAAGGCTTGTGGCTGTCATTTGGTTTATTAAAAACAAAAGCGTTTGATCTCTTGAAGAAAGAAATCAGCTCCCGGAGTTTAGATTTTCTTTTCTGCACTTGATCTTCTTGAAAAGCATCAAAAAATGAAAAATCTAAGGTGACATGCTCCATTCTCATGGCCTCTAATAGCCAGTCACTCCACCAATTTTTCTAAGTTTATCTTTAATCTACTATTCCCAAACTAATTAGGGATTGAAGGTCTTTGGACTGATTTTCATTTTGTCTTGAGTTATTGTGACATCTTTACTACAAATTCTTTCTCAGTCTAATTAAATTCCTGCAGCATAAATGTCATTTTTCATATCATCACCTGTGGTAGCCTGACTTTGCCTCAGTCTCCTGAGGGACTGACTCCCTTCTTTACTTGAAGTAAGAACATCTCCAGGCATAGCACAGACAGAGAATCCATTAATATACAGGAGTTCAGAGTGATGGGGTTTTATTAGGAAAGTCCAACAGTTGTGCTCTTATATTAGTTTTCAGAAGAATATTTCAATTTGTGCCTTCCTCCAGGCCCAGAGGCCAAGGGCTGAGTCGTGCTCTGAGCCTGGCCCTGAGCTGCCAGGGCCCAGAAATCCTCTGCTCTGCTTGGAAACACGGTGCAGGGGCTTATCTGCTGAACAAAATCCAAATGAGAAATGTTGATACTTAATGAAATATAAGTTTGAGGATTTCACAAAAGAAATCTGCTGTCACTGCTTTAATTTATTAGGGAGAGTTATGTGCAGATGGTATATACAGAGCTATTTCCTGACTCTACTCTAGAGTGAGTTGATTTGTGGTTTAATGACTTTTATCAAAATGAAATAAGCGTTTGATCTTTGGATTTGATCTGGCTATATCTGCAGCTGCTACACCACTACAGCAATTACTTCCAAGCTGGGCTTTTTGCCCAGGCAAATGGAGTTCGTCCTTGTTTCATGTCTCATTGACTGTCCTGATAATACACACAGTGCTTCCGTAGGTTTCTCCTTCCTCTAAATTTGATAGGTGTGAAAGTAAGAGAGTAATTTCCTTTTTATTTTAGTATCAGTGTTGTTTTATTATAATCCATTCACTACTCTGGTTAATTTTATCTCGAAGCTGCTCCTAACTAAAATTCAATACAAGAATGTGTAATTTTCTCCACATAATCCTGCTATGCCCCTCTATAGAGAAACAAGAAATTCATTTATGAATTCTAAATCTCAGACCCCTCGTGGTAATCTTCACATCTGTCCATGTGGGTTTAGGGATGAGTTTGTAGTGATATGTTGTGTGCCCACACTGGGCTAAATCCCTTCCTAATGGATTTCAGTGGTAGGCAATGCAGTTATACTTGGAATTAATTTCCCCCCATCTCTGGAATAGTGGGGTTTTTTATTGTTGTTGGCTAATTAATCCCTGCCAGACTGAAGCTGTTAAGGTTAGCAATTCTTTCTCCAGCACCATACTTATTCTTTATTTACTGCTCAGGACAAGATTTGTCCAAGTTCATCCTCAAAAACTCCTGGTGGGAGATGGTTGTCATGATTAAGGGTTCTTAGGGCTTGGTGCTGCCAGCTGTGAGTTGCTGAGGAGCTCCAGCTGTGTCTGTGAGCAGGGGGTGGGAGGCAGGAGCTGCTGAGGTGGCTGGCAGCCAGTTCACCCTGGCCAGAGCAGCACAGGAGCTGCAGAAGGTTTGTGGTGCATCAGGCCATGCTGGATGAAGATGTTCTGGAGGCAGCCTTGGTTTGGAGCCAGCAGGTCTGAAATCTGCTGATTCACAGTGGTGAGGAGAAGCAGTCAGATGGAATTATAAAGCAAAGGAATGATCTTTGTTTCCTTGTTCTCCCCCTTTTTACAGTCACTTCGGGACAAGGCGCTTCACACTTTGCGTGGCTGGAAGGTAGATTTAAAATTTTCTCTTTTTTTGGCTGGGAATTTCTTAGAGATAAGCAATACAAATGGCAATAACTGGGAAGTGACTGGTGGATGAGTTGCCTGGAGATTTGCAGTGCTACCAGAAGCTCTGTGAGAAGGCGGCTCAGCCTCGGAGCTGGGGAAGGTTTTCCTGTGCCAGGGTTGCTGCTGCATCTTTAGCAAATCAAACTCCTTGCACAGTCCTTGCTCCTTAATCCAGGAAAATTAAACCACCAGCCACAGCTACATTGTCCAGCCATCTGCTCTCCCAGGTGCTCCCACGCCTGAGCAGGGATGGAGGGGTGTGACCTAGAATCCCACTGCAGAGATGGGATCATTCCCAGCACAGTCCCAGCCTTCCATCTTCTGCATGACATCAGATAAAGTAAACATCAAGATTTCATGTGAGAGCATATGTCCATTGCATAATTCATTAGAGTTCTTCTCCACAACTATTTTTAGGTATTTTTCAATCAGAAGTCGAGGGCCAGGATTATTCAGGAAAAGAAAAAGGTAAGAAAATAATGGGGGAGATTAGAAAGATGTCTAGGTACTTCTAGGGCTGGGATCTGGCCATTTAGCTGTGTGTTCGGTTTTAAATACTTATTTCTGTCCTGGACAATTCCACAGTCCTTCATGACAGCTTGGTGGTGGGATGGTGTAAATCCAACAGCAGAACAGGAAACCTGCTCCTTTTTTATTCAGCACTGCTGCTAAAACCCCTGTCAGGCCAGACAGCACCTCCCATCATTTCAGACTGTATCACTCCATCACCCTGAATGCGGTTATTCCCAATTTCCACACACGAAACACATCCAAAACCATTTTCCCTCTATTTTGCAAAGCATCCGCTGAGTGTTGGTGGGACACGGCGAGCAGAGTTGGTGGTTTCCCTGCTCAGGTTGTACAAAACACGTCATAACTGCAAATCATCACAGCTGCCACCGCTTCTTCTCATGTGCCAGCAGGCTGTGAGCTGTCCCCAGGTTGTGGGAACACCTGGGATGTTCCTGGGCTCTCAAATTCGCCAAACCTCGTTTCACCCCACACGTGCAGGCCGAGCGGGTTTGCTGTAAGACAGCCAGGACAAAAATCCTAACCCAACCCCAAATACAGCGTGAGTCACTGACAAGAAATGGAAGGAGGAGTTATTTTGAGGCTTTTACATCTTCCCTATTGCTAGGAGACAGCTCTTGGGCACGCGGAGCTCGTCAGGCTCCCACAGCTGCCTCCTCAGTGCCGCGGCGTCCAGGGCAGCTTTGAGGGAGACAAGGAGGAGGAAATTGGGATGGGAGCTGCTTTTCATTCTTCAGTCTTTCTGGGACAAATGCAGAGTGTCGTGGAGGCAGCTGCAGGTCCAAGGGGAGCATAGTGCCTGAAATGTCACCTCAGGCTGGCCTCGGTCACTCAGCGCCTCGGTCACCCAGCTTTCATGGCCTGCTCTCTGCAGAGAGGGGGTCTCCATGTGCTAACACCACACTGGGGCCAAGTTTGTTCTGCTTGGGAAGGTGCAAAAAGGCAGCACTGCCAGCCAAGCCTGGGCTTGTCCCTGATGGTCAGTCCATGCACAGCATCGCCTGCCAGCACTGGAGTCCCACAAGGGCGGCCCTCAGGGAGCCCATGATCAGCACCAGCCTCACCACCTGGGACCCCAGTGTTTGGAGTTCTCAGTTCTGACCAAAAATTATTCTGTTTTCATAAGGCAGACCCTTTCCTTGGGTCCTAGTATGGGCTGATTGAGGCTGGGGTTGTAAATGGACAGATCTCCTGGGGTTTTGTCACGGGTGGGCAGAGCCTGGAAAAAACCAAAGCTGTCACAAGAACATGGGAATTTGTCATCCAGAAGGGAGTTGCTGAGACAACTGTGGAGTATCTCACACTGTATTTTTCACACTAATGCCAGATGGCCAGGAATGGGATCCCCCACGTTCTCCTCCCAGTCTGAGAAGACAAGAAAATAAACAAGGAAAATGTCTGTGCTGATGGCATCTGTGGGCTCCCTCATAAGGTGAGTCACCGCTTTTGATTGCTGAAATAATTAGGATTTCATTCTAATTGGATTCTCATGTTAACCCTTCCTGCACCAGGGATCCCAATCATCATTTTAGTTCCTGGCAGGAGTTGGAACTGGATGATCTTTAAGGTCCCTCCCAACCTAAAACATTCTGGGATTTTGTGGAAAATCAGACTTGGCAGCAATTCCAGGCAAGGACATTTTACACCAGCTGGGCTGCTGGTGTGGAACCCCATCCCTCTGCTGCTCCCATCACCTACAGGACCATTCTGGGGGTGATCAGGATTCAGTTTCCTTCCAGCTACAGGAGAAAAGTGCAAGGAATTACAGGAGAAGAAAGACGGCAGAAATCTGTGGAAATGTTTGAGTGTGGGGTGCTCTGCAGCAGGTTTTATTTAGGAGGTGTTTGACACATACGACCCATACTCTCTGAGATCCCCACACTCCTGCCAGACATGTGCACATACATTTATTTTTAAACTCTTACATGCATAATTTCCTACCTGGCTGGTGCACCAAAGCAGTTTTTCTCCTTAGCAAATAAGGGAAAGAGCCGGGTAAGTATAAATGTGTTTCTTAACAGCCTTGTTTGTGACAAAATTGCCAAGTAAATCTTCACACGCCATCGGGCTGCGAGTATTCGAGTCACATTTGGACAGCAAAGCCCACTGCACGCAGCTTTCATTACAACATTTCTCTCAAGCACAGCCTGTCTCTCATGTTTTTCTGAACATTGTTTAAAGAACTGATGAAAGGGATGAAAACTTTTTAAACTTTTCTTTTCTCGCGTCTCTTCAGCTCAGTCTTTCATCACTCAGTCAATAAACAGTGGAGGACTCTTCTGAACTGCAGTGGGAGCAAGGAGGAGCAGGGGAAATTAATGATATCACCAAATTGAAACTCTTTCAAGTCCCCTTTAATTGCAGAGGGCACAGGGAGCTCATTCAGTTTTAATTCTCTGATCTCTTGCTGTCCCCAAGGACCAATCTGCCTCTCCTCCCACGCCGCACGCGATTTTCCCAGGGTGGGTTCCTGGCTCCTTGCTCAAGGCTCCTGTGCTCTGCAGAGCCCTTCCCAGTGGGATTTTGGCAGTGGAACAGCAGCCACAGCTGCCCACTGAGGTGGTCACGCTGCCCTTGGGCATCACACAGGGCTGATCCTGCTCCATCAAGCCCCTGGTGCCTGTTTGGTGCCTCAGCTGCCCGTCTGTGGGCTGGGGATCACAGGATCCCACACCTTAAACCTCATCCAGGTCCACTGGCCATGGGCAGGGACACCTGGCACTGTCCCAGGCTGCTCCAATCCCTGTCCAATCTGGCCTTGGGCACTGCCAGGGATCCAGGGGCAGCCACAGCTCCTCTGGGCAGGTGAGTGCCACATATCCAAGCAGTCCAAAGTTAAAAGAGAAAACAATAAAACCCCCAAGAACCTCCAAAAATTGCTGCTGTCCACTGAGGAGCTTCAGCTGAAGGTACCAAGCATTCCCTGGCTGTCTTTGTCTCATAGGAAATATCAGTGCAAGAGACTGAAAACTGCTCAAAGAGCCATTCCCACCGTGGAAAAGCCTGAGGATTATCATCACAACAGGTCCCTGGGCAGAAACATGAAGCATGAAGCTTTAAATTCAAGTCACACTGATAAGAATAACAAATAAAGAGACCAAATTCCCTTAAAAAATGGGATTACCAAGGCCGTGGGGAAGAAATGTTTTAAAGGAAGTTAAAGAGAAGTTAATCTGCTTTTATGTAATTTGTTTTCCTATTCTTCCTGAACCAGCTTGCTTTGGAGACAGCTGCTTTTAAGGTTTACAGCCATGCATATGGTTGGGAGGGCTGGAATTGGCAGCCCTTGGCCTGACAGAATAATGGCTAACTGGAAAAATGGCTGGGTAGATAATTTACAGATGATACGACCACATCAAACCCAGTGAAACACAACCCATTCATTTTTACAGCCTCCAGACTGCTGCCTGTTGTGATCTGTCCCTCCTGATGGCTCTGCTGTCACACAGCCCTTCCCTCCTCTCCCACGGGCAGGATCCCATGGAAATCCTCATTTCTGAAGGGTAGGACATGGATGGGATAGGATCCCATGGAAATCCTCATTTCTGAAGGGTTGGACCTGGATGGGACAGGATCCCATGGAAATCCTCATTTCTGAAGGGTTGGACATGGATGGGACAGGATCCCATGGAAATCCTCATTGCTGGAGGGTTGGACAGGGCAGGATCCCATGGAAATCCTCGTTTCTGAAGGGTTGGACATGGACAGGGCAGGATCCCATGGAAATCCTCATTCCTGAGAGTTTCAACATGGATGGGACAGGATTCCATGGAAATCTTCATTGCTGAAGGGTTGGACATGAACAGGGCAGGATCCCATGGAAATCCTCATTCCTGAAAGGTTCAACATGGATGGGACAGGATCCCATCCTGTATCACCTTTGGAGCCGTGGTGTTCTTTGTTCAGCAGTAAATGAGCAATTCCTGGAGAAATCCTGCTTGGGGTAGTCCCGGCCCTCCCTCGGCCAAGCCCTGAGTGAAAGGCAGATTCTCATGGCTCAATTACAGAGCCATTAAACAAAATGGAAATGTTGATGTTCATTATTGATTTTATCCTTTGCTGCTCTGGAATGGTGCTACTGGGAGCTGTTGTAATCAGATTACCTTAAAACTTACTTACAGAATGAAGTGCTTAATTTATCCCCCCTTTTTCCTTTCCCAAAGCAATAAAACAGGAAGGGATCAGCTGTACTTCCTCTAGACCAGCCCTTCTCTTTTTGGTTTTCTTGCTGTGTTTGTGTAATTCATCTTTTTATCACTCTCAAAATCTTTTTTTGAAGCATTTTGCATTTGTTATATCTCCTCAAGTAATCGCTCATATTGGTTATGGAATAGAATAGACTGTGATTGTTGGAGATATAACTGCAAAATGTTTCCAATTTCTGGGAATATCCTTTGAAAACTACATTTACTGAACATCCATCTCCAGCTCCCTGTGCTGTCAGGTCACGGCTCCGTGTCTCTGCAGCCTGGATATCTTTGGGATTCAAGTCAGCCTGGCTGATTCTGGTTTAACTGAGGATCTGGGAAGTGCTGCATTTTGAGTGATATATCCTCTCATAATCTGGGAGGTTAAATGGTTTTTCTGATTTGATTCTTTACTGCCTTCCCCATTTCACATCAGATGAAACCGGCTGTGAAATGGCAGCAAATGCAAGTGGCACATTTGTGTGCTGAGTGCCTGCAGCGAGCACGGGGGAAGAGGAATTGGGCTTTAATTGCCCCTCATTAGTCATATGCTGTGTACAATAGGAGTGGCAATTTCAGTGGGCAAGGAGTCTGAGAAGTCCAGGCCCTGTCCTTATCCCAGGCTGGCTGTGGGGCTGGGATGGCTCTGACTCAGGGCACCAAAGTGCCCAATTCCTGCCAGGTCTGTGGCCCTGCAAGCTCTGCCCCTTGGCTGGGCTCAGGTGAGCATCATCAGAGAATCCCAGAACTGTTTGAGTTTGGAGGGACCTCAAAGCCCATCCAATCCCACCCCTGCCATGGCAGGGACACCTTCCCCTGTCCCAGGTGCTCCAAGCCCCAATGTCCAACCTGGCCTTGGCACTACCAGGGATCCAGGGGCAACCACAGTTGTGCCAGGGCTGCCCACCCTGCCAGGGAGCAATTCCATCCCAATCTCCCATCCATCCCTGCCCTCTGGCAGTGGGAGCCATTCCCTGTGTCCTGTCCCTCCATCCTTGTCCCCAGTCCCTCTGCAGCTCTCCTGGAGCCCCTTCAGGAGCTCTGAGGTCTCTCTGGATCCTTCTCTTCTCCAGGCTGAGCCACCTTGTTCTTGCTGTGTTCTGTACTCACATCCATGTGGAATCTGGCTCTCTGTCCCCTCAAGCCCCTGGTGGGCACCTGATCCTGAGCAAAGCACTCAGCCCAGGCCATCTCCTTGCAAAAGCATGGAACTGTGGAATGTTTGAGGTTGGAAAAGCTCTTTAAGATCATCGAGTGCCACCACACAGCAGCACTGTTCTGACTGATCAGACTGTGACCCTGCCATAATCCTCTCCAAGTGCCACTCAACCTGCCTTTCATAGGAACGAGACTTTTAATCTGTGGATTTACCACGTTTAACCCTCTCCTTGCTGTGTCCTGCCTGCATTCCCAGCTGTTCCTTGGCAGCCAGCAGCTCTGATCCCAGCCCTTCTCATCATTCCTCTGCCTGACCAGCACTTTGGAAGGAGGGTGGAGATTTCTGTGGCTTAGCAGATGGCAGCAAATCTTGATACCTGCATTTCATAGCCTGGCCCGTGGGGTTAGAGTGATGTATTTACTCCAGCACCTAAAGTCAATGAATTACATCCAACCCTGCAAATGACCATAAATATGATAGTCTGTGTGAGCTGAGGTAATTGCCTGCTTTATATATGTGTTTATCTTCCCTGCATTGCATACACAATGTGCATTATGTCAGGGAGATGACAAAGAGCAGCCATAATGCTCCTCAACTGCATATTTCTTCTTAGTTTATGGCTGAGGCTCGGAGTTATCTTATGCAGAGTTGGCTGCAGGGGTTTAATATAAATTAACATACTTAGAAAATGTCAAGGAGCATTAATTGACAATTTTGGAGGCCTACCTTGCTAAATACCAGTTCAATTCTGAAGCCCGTCTCTGCAAGCTTAATATATGGAAAATAATGCTTATTCATGAATGGCTTATGTAACTTGGCATTAATTACGTGGCAGCGAGTGCTGGCTGTCACAGATGGTCTCTCAACAAAACCAGGTGCCAAAAATAAAGTTTCAAGCCCCACAAGGGAACTTCTGAGCTGGGTACTCATCACTTTGGAAAAGCAGGGCACATCATCTTGTGTGGAAATACCGACTTACTAACCTAATTCTGGACCCACTTTTGGCAGAGGATTGGCCTATATAAAAATATTTCACATCAGCACCTTCTCCTGCACCTCAAAGGAGCAGGAACCTGGTGTGCCCCCAGCCCAGCACTCCCCACCTGGAAAACGGAGATGACACTGAATAATCCTGTTGATAAGAAGTGGAAGAAGCTGAGGTTTTTATCTGAACAATTAGCACAGTGTTGGTGGTTGCTCTGCCTGCCCTCCAGCCTGAGCAGTGTCACAGCTGGCAGCAGCTGCTTGGTGTGGAGGTGCCCAGCTGAATGCTAATTGTTGATTAATATAGCTCTGGGTTATAATCCCGTTTCTCTCTTTAGGATTTTTTTTCCCCCATGCACCAGGAAGGTGCTGCTGTCTCTCCGAGATTTCCTGCTCCTCGTTCCAGCTGGGAGCATGGCCAGCTCCACAGCTCCTGGGAACTCCCCTGCCTCCCTAAACAAAGTTAAGCAAGGCTGAGAGATGAGATTTGAAGGCATTTATTGATTTTGCTTTAATATTCTGTTATTTCTTTCCCATCAATACCCTATTTGCTTTATGCAGCGCACTGTGGTGTAAGTATATTCCCAGAAAATGATGCACATAATGTTATCTCAAATGCGAGCATATGGATAGCAAATGAAAGCTGGGCTGTAAATCACTGAAAAGCAGGAATGGCAGCACCATCCAGGCAGCTGCACTCAGCTCCTGAGCTGGAGTGGGAAGGGCAGCCCTTCCTGAGGCTTGGCATCACTGCCTGCTGCAGTGTTTGGGCCCCAGAGCTCTGCAGTGATGGGTTCCTATGGCAACTGGCTGGCACCTGCCCTGTGCCCCCAGCTTCTACCTACTTGGCTTGTTGGGGATTTTTGCCAAATGGACCCTTCTTCCATGATTTCCCTCTTTCTTTGCGTTGTTGCTGTCGAAATATTTTCTGTGGTCCCTAAGTTAAGTCCTCCCCTGAGATCAGGGCCAAACTGAGCCTAGAAATGCTCTCCTGGATTAACAGCAAGTGTTTATTGCCCTGACCCCCTGTCCTCCTCTTCCTGCTGCTTTTCCATCCCCTACTCCTCCCATCCCAGGGAGCAGTGGGGATACAGCCTCTCCAAATCCCAGAGAGTTTTGGGTTGGAAGGACCCTAAATCCCACCCAGTGACACCCCTGCCATGGCAGGGACACCTCCCACTGTCCCAGGTGCTCCAGCCCCAGTGTCCAACCTGGCCCTGGGCACTGCCAGGGATCCAGGGGCAGCCACAGCCACCCCTGTGCCAGGGCTGCCCACCCCTGTGGGGATCTCCCATGCCAACCCAACAGGGTCCACTTTTAAATACAATCCTGGGCATCATTTCATCTTCTCTTGCTTGAAACCTAAAAAAAGAGATAAACAATTGCTTTAACCCATCTGCAAAGCGACTGCTTCAAGTGAAATTCTGTTCTAAACCCAAAGGAAGTGTAATTGAGAAGAGACTAGAGGAGCTCACCCCGGGAATAGGGAGGTGAGGAATTCCCTGGGATGGTGGGGGGGTGATTCCTGTGCCACCCCAAATGTCCCCACGGGCACTGGGGCAGTTGTTGCTGTCCTTGTGAACCTCTCAAATGTGTCTTTCCCCTTCTGGGTGAGACCTTTCCTCCAAGATCTCACCCATGGCAATGCCAGAATTCAGCTCAGCCCTCAGGAATTGCAGAAAACCATCCTGGCCTGTGCTCCCAGAGGTGCTCTCAGGGAAGGTGCCTCTGCTGGAGACACTCTGCACATTGCAGAGAGCCTGGCTCTGGTGGGCCATGACCATGAAATTGCCCGTGAAATGGGAATCTATTGTTCACCGTGCTAATTAATAACCCCACAAGTTTATTTAAAGGTCACTGGAAAGCCATGAGAAATATCTTAGATGTGAAAAGTAGAAAAATCGAGAAGCCACAGGGGGTTTGGCTTATTTAGTGGAATGTTATTGCTGATATTTAAGATATTTTCTGAGATGTGCATTAAATGAATAAGTGGCATGAAGGAGTGTTTTAATATAACTTAGTGTGAAAGTAGCCCTCAGAATTTATTTTACTCATAGATTTTTGCATCAAAGGTCCTATAATGATTAATTTTCAAACTTACAGGTTTAAACAGCAAAATAAGAAAGAATAGCTCTGAAGCTGCTTTGAAATACTTAATAAAATGGTGTTCTTTAAAGCACTAAATGGCCTCCTAATGCCACTGGCACTTGAAAGAACAGTGTTCTTTGCAATATTTCTATTCAGTTTTCTGCACTCTGCAAGGCTGGGCACTCTGTATAGGGCACGGAAATATTTTCAAATGGGCAAAACCAAGGTATTGTTATATCCCCACAAAAGCCTGGGCTGAAAACCTGCACGGAGCACTTGGGAGGGCAGGAGTTAATTGGATGGTGCAGAAGGTTGCTCGGCCTTCCAGATTCCAGCACAAACTCAAAATACAATCAGTTGGAAAGGATGTTGCTGCTCTGAGGGATGCCTGACGTGGGGCTGCTGCAGAGACACTGAGGGACTGACACAGCCCCAAATCCAAATGTTTTTTTGTAGGAAAATTCATGTCTCTCCAGGGACAAAAAGCATCTTCGTGTCAAACCCAAGGGATGTAAAATCAGAGGTTCCCCCAGAGAGTGCCCAAGCATCCCCTTAATGGGTATTGGAGTGGGAGAAATTCCTCCTGGGATGCTCCAGAGGTAAGAGAGAAATTCCTCCTTAATTTCCCTAAAATAAGAGCAGGATTTGGCCCCTTGCAGCTCCTGGGGAGGCAGGGGCAGCTGGGATCCAGGCTTGAATCCTGTTACAGGAGGGCTCCTAATTGTAAATTCAAGCATGCAGAGGATTAATTGCCAGCAGGTGTCAAAGATAATAAATTCCTCTCTGATCTGGGCAGGGGGTAACTCTGAGTATTTCCCTGTATTGTTCTGTTCTTACCCTTGTTCAGGGGGACAGAACGTGAAAATCTACGTGAGGAAATGGGATAAACAATTTTGCTGCTGTCAGAAAAGGAGAAAACGCAGCTCGAGGCTTCAAAGGGGAGCATTTGTTAATTAGGAAATTACTGCTTGAAAAAAATATAAATGGGGAGGTCAGAGATTTGTGAAAAGCCAGCCTATAGCTTCATGACCTGCCCTGAGCCAAGGGTTACACACAACCCGCCCCAGCAATTTACTCGGGTTCCTTCCTCCTTGTGCTGTGGGAAAATGAGCGAATTTAGCAATTAGTGGAGCTGCTGATTGACTCCTGGCCATCCCCAGCTCCTCGCCCCCTGCCTTGGGGCTGCCCTTGTCCCCACAGCCCCGGGCACAGGCTCAGCCTGGGAGGTCCTGCCACCACCTCTGCTCCTCAGGTGGAGGTGCAGAGCCTCACCGAGCCTTTAATGAGGGGGCTGGTCCCTGTGCAGAGCAAAAAACAGAAGGAGGGCCTTTAGAAGGTGATTTCCTGCAGCCCCCAAGGCCCTTGGCTGGTTTTGCTGTCTTTGCAGGTGGCAGGGAAAGTGATTCCTGTTGATAGGAGCAGGGCATGAACCTGAGGGAAGGACCTTGCTGTCCATGGGGTGTCCTGGGAGCATCCATGAAGGCAATTTCTGCTGAGGAGCAGTGTGGGAATCCAGAGCTTCACTCTGGCTGCCCTGGGACCCTGGCAGGGGTCAGGAACCCCCCTGGACAGAGCCCCCAGAGACACTGGCTGTGATCTCTGCCCATGGAAAAGAGTTTTCAATCTTACAGGATGAATTACCAGCTCTGAGTGTTTGATATAAGTAATAATTAAGTGTGGCATGGGTGCAAAAGTAAAATTTTAGGATTCTAGATTAGGGGTCCAAAGGGGACAAGATGGAGGAAATTGGGTGTGCCTTGTCCTTTTTCTCCTTCTTCATGCCCTCCATGTTTCACTGTGGTGTTGGCATTTTTCTGTTGGTTCAGGCTGGGGACACACTGTCCAACGTAGGTGACAGATATTGGCACGTTATTGTAAATCCAGCACAGGTAGTTTGTGGTATTTAATGTTTGTACCATCCCACTGAGGGCAGAGCCCCACACGCTGCCCTGCAGGACAGAGCTGCGGCAGGGCAGCAGAACATGTTAGAGATAAACAGAATAAACACCCTTGAAACCAGCACAGACCAATTATGGCTTCTGCTTTGGCAGCGGGGCTGAAAGACAGAGACTTTCTACAATCTGGGAATCATCAATAGCACAGATTCCGACAGAGCAGCACTCTGCAAATGCAGCCTTTTGTTTGCTCTCCGTGCACACAAACAAACCCTGAGAAGGTCACTGGTGAGTTTAGCCCCTGGCACGGAGCTGTGGCAGGGGAGGGTCAGGCTGGGATCAGAAAAAGGTCAGGGAAAAGGAGGGTGCTGGCACTGCCCAGGCTCCCCAGGGAATGGGAACATTCCCAAGGCTGCCAGAGCTCCACGGGTGCTTGGACAGCACTGCCAGGGATGCACAGGGTGGGATTTGGGGTGTCTGTGCAGGAGCTGGACCCTGATCCTTGTGGGGCCCTTCCAGCTCAGGGTATTCCCTGACTCTCTGAAGGAACTCACCTGACCAGGCTGATCCTGGTGTGGAGTATTAAACAGCAGGAACAGCCAGGTTAGATAGGATTGGATTAAAATCATGGACTGGTTTGGGTTGGAAGGCACCTTACAGATCATCTCATCTCATACAGCTCATCTCACTCCAGCCCCCTGCCATGGCTCTTGCAGATCCTTAGGACACACAAAATGCATCATTTCAGTCATCACATTTCATATGTGACAGAAAAGTCATGGCACCTCTGTAATGAAGCAAAGCAGGGCCTGAACTAATTAACTGCAGCCAGAAATAATGAATTATACGGCAAGTGCCACAGTTGGGGCTGCTCCAGAGGCCTTGAGGCAATGATGCTGCTCTGAGATGTGGTTTGGTAAGTACGTCACAAACCAACGTGGCTTCAGGAATTTTGCCATCACCCTCAGCAGGAGCTGAGGCTCAATCATTATTCGGGGTCCTCTCTGCAGTATTTACATGGATGGAAAGGGCCAGTGGGCCTTTGGGGTTTATTTAAAAAGGAGAAAAGTGTTGCTGCAGCCTCTCGTGCCTCGGCGAGCAGACGGCTCCCGGCCCACACAGCCCTGGAAAAGCCAAACTCGGGTTTAAATTAGCACCCAGCCTTTGCCAGGGCAAATGGGAGCAGCAAAGCAGCAAAGAGTGAGTTTGGGAGTGCCTGAGGGGCTCATCCTGAGCAGGAGACACAGCCCTGAAAACCCAGCTGAGAGAGGAGAGATCCCTCTGCTTCCTGCACTCCTCCTGCTGGGGCTGTGCATCCTGGGTGGATTACAGCACAGAAACAGCACTGAAATGCCACTTCATGGCATTCTCCAGCTTCCCTTCTTCCTGGAAATATCACTGTCAGCTTAGGAAAAGTCATTAGCAATGGGGCATTGAAGCCCAAGATATGAAGAACAGTTTTTAATTCCTTTCATTGTACTAAACCAATTTCTTAGGGATATTATGGAAATCTTTTCATTTGGATTTTAACCATAAAGTAATTAAGGAAATATTCCAGATGGATGCAATGAGGTTTTTCTTTACTTCTCTAGAAAAGAAGGTGCTCTGAGGAGCCAATCTCTTGAACAAGTGTGATGAGTAATTCTCTTGCTCAGTCTCTACATCCATTTTGGACCATGTTGGTGAAATAAAAGTAAGTGTAGAGGAGACTCCGATGGACATTTTGGATTTTGACAGCTGTCCTTGACATCATAGTGGACAAGGGGAATGGCTTTAAACTGCCATTTGATGGAATATTGGGAAGGAATTGTTCCCTGTGAGGGTGGCCAGGCCCTGGCACAGGGTGCCAGACTGGCAGAGTCCAAGGCCAGGTTGGACAGGACTTGGAGCACCCTGGGATAATGGAAGGTGTCCCTGCTGTGGGGCAGAACAAAATAAGCTTTAACAAAATGAGATTTTTCTTTTCCAGCCCAAACCTTTTGGGGATTTTTATGATCATGCTCATCCATCCTCCCTGAGCCCAACCAGGTAATTCCTGCCGTGCAAAGCTTGCAGAGTTCATTCTCCTGAGCAGAAGAGACAGCTTCCTATCTGGATAGGTTTCCTTTCCTTTCTTGCTGTAAGAGGAACGTGCACTCAAGCAGAATTTGAAGTCACTGGCAGAAAATAAGGCAGCGAGAGCACACGAGGGAAACTGGAGGGACTGTGCAGGTGTGAGGAGTGGATGGAATAGCAATGAGGGAATTCGAGAAGAGATTGGGAATATGTAACATTGAAGAGTAAAGGACAAGCAAAGCAAAACGTCCAGGGCTGACAGTATCCCAGCAACAATAAATTCTGTGTGTGACACGGCCAGCTGAGAGAGCTGGGGACCAACAGCTCTCTGATCTCCTGCCAAAATCCCTGGTCAGCCCTTCCCGTGCACAGTGTCAGCTGGGAGCTGTGAGGCACACACAGGTACGTGGGGCTGTGTGCAGCAGCTGCTCCAGAGCATCATTCCTAGGATGGGAGCTGACACCCAGAGAACTGAGAATTAACTTCACTCCCAGCTCAGGTGCAAGTGCTGACACTGCTGTGGGCACTTTTGTGCCAGAGCCCACCCTGGTTTGGGGTGGCTCCGTGTGGTGGAAAAGTCTCTCCTCCAAGCCGAGCTCCCAAAGAAAGGCTCAGCAGTCTCTGCTGTCCGGTCTCAAGGCAGTTCATTGCAAGTTATCTAAAAGATTTTCTCCTGGAGCTGCTGTGGTTTGCTCACAGCTCAGGCAGAGGCACACACACCCCCTGACATCCTCTCTGACTCCCGACTGCTTCTTCTCTCCCCCTCTGCCCAGGGCTGCTGCTGTCTTTTATATGGTACATTACGTGTTACATGGGTACAGTTTGTCCCCAATGCCTATTACCTAAATTAAATGGTGCTTTTCTATCTTTTATATGGTACATTACGTGTTACATGTTACAGTTTGTCCCCAATGCCTATTACCTATATTAAATGGTGCTTTTCTACTCTAAACCAATCTGGGAGTGCCAACATCACCAAGAACATGGAGGGAAGGAAGAAGAAAGAGGGAGGACAGGACAGGCCCAAATCCCTCCATCTTAAACCTCTGACCCCCATGTACAAAACCAAAACCCCCTGTACAGCACTCAGAAATTCTTCCCTCTACTTTGTGACTACTTCTACTCTAATATCTAAACTTTTGTGACTTCTTGTTCTTCCTGCAAGGTTGGTAAATCATTCCATGGCTCAAACCCAAAATCACAGCTGTTTCCAGCTGCCTGCCAGGGTCTCAAATGCTTCTGACCTGGGCCTGGAACCTCCAAAAATGTCTGAGGGACATTTTGAGTTCTGACACTTTTGGGGTTATGTTTTCTGCCCAGAGGTGTTGTTGGCCTCAGCCCATGTGCTCCCAGTGAAAAGGAAGGGATTCTTGCCACAGGGGTCAGTTTGTCAATGTAACAGGGCCTCTGTGGAGTCAAATAAATGAGAATTTCCTGTGGGTGAGCATCTGAGTGGCAGTAAATGGTATCAAAGAGAAGATCTGCACATTTTTTTGAGGAAGAGTAGACAGGAGGCTCATGCAGGTGGACTTAGGCAAGCAGCCAGTGCCAGGAAAGAAAGTGATAAATGGATGTCTTGGAAAAGCCTGAATGGAGGAATAATAACCATCAACAGCAGAAGACATTGAATGAGATGGATTCTCACCTCTAGAAGCTTCCTGTTTTTATTATTGATGGCACTGCAGGTTTTATTTCTTTGCTTTTTGTACTTTCCAGTACAATCTGGTTAGGAATTCAACATGCCAAGGCAGGTGATGGAAGGATTCTGGAAGGAAAGTGAAAAATGACATAAATGAGCTGCAACACCAGCCCTGCTCTGGCAAGGAGTCCAACTGGAGGTAATCCCAAATGACAAAGGCTTTGTTTCCCTAGTTACCACTAAAACATCATGGAAAGAGTCTCAGGACAGGACAAAGCTGTTTCCATGGGATTTCTGGTTAACTGACCCTTTTTTTCCCCCTTCTCCAATATCCTAGACCTGATTTTAAAGGTAACTGAACACCAAGAGGTTTGGATTAGCACATAAAAAATTCACTGCTGCCCTCTCCAAACTCTTCACTCTCTTCAAACTCTTTGTAAACTCTTGCACATCTTTTAAATTGGGAAATTCTGTCCTGTATCCTCTGGTGAGGGCTGCTGAAGTGGGTGCAGTGGGATCTCACACGGAGAGGGAGGCAGTGTGCTGCTGAGTAATGGTGAATTTCTCAGGAAATGAATAATTTTGGGACTTTCTAAAGGTCACTTGAAGTTCCCTATAACTTTTACAGTTGGTTATATAAAATGAAAAGAGAGAACTCTTCGTCTAGATAACTGTCAGCCGGGTGAGATAACCTCACAAAGGCTCTGGCAGGTCAAGCCACTTCAGTGACAGTTTTTGGGAAGAGACCAGTCAGCAGAGCTGCCTCCCCTGATGGGTGTCTGAAATGGAAATTCCAGCTCTCCCTCTTGCAGCAGATTTAAGTGGAAGTTCACTGCCCTGGTGGGCACCTGGATTTTATAACTGACCTCTGAGAAGTACCTGAGCCAACCTTTTGTCTCCACTGCTGTAAATTAAAGCCCAGACAGGCCCAGGTGAGCTGGAGTGGCTGAAGGCAGGGGTGGAGAAAGCAGACTGATACCTGCCCCTGGTTTTCCAGGATCTCCTCAGGGGCAGCTCTGGATGACTCTGAAGTGTTCAGGGGTTCAGTGGGGGGATGTTTGCTGGGTTTGGATGTTGAGACTCTGCAGGAGCAGGTCTGGAGCCCCCTGGCACCACGGCTGAGCTTGGTGCTGGCACAGGGACACTCCATGGTGGAGCAGGCCTTGGATCCAGAGGGAATCTGCTCCACCTGCAGCTTTGCAGCTCAGGAACAGAGTCAGTGCCCTGATGGTGATGCCTCAGGTTTTATCTTTTATATTTTTCACATTCTGTGCTGCTTTAGTGTTTGGGTCTTATCTTCATACCAGGGGATGCTGAGCTCTGTGCACAGAGCAGGGAGACAAAACAATTCCTGCTCCAGCTGGGCACCCAAATGATCCAAATCTCAGCCCAGGAGCACAAACAGCGTGGGCTGGAGAGAGAAAAACAAGCAGGGTGGGACTGCCTGGGCTAAAGCTGGAATGGGACAATGAACTCCAAGGTGCCAATGGAGCAGAACTGATCCCAGGGAGAGCCCCCGGGAGCGCTCGTGCATTTTGGGGCCATTTTGGTTCATTTGGGTGCAGCCCTGGCTGGGCTCTGGTGCTGCCCAAGGTGGATCCATGGAGGAGATCCTTTAATAAATCCCTGCTTTATTCTGTGACCCTGCCCAGCCTCTGCTCTAGCGCAGCCTGCACAGGGCTGGCAGTGCCAGTCCAGCCTGGCAGAGCCCAATTCCTGCAGAGGGAACATGGCATAAAGCACTCCATGGAAAACCGTGGACAACTGGACTCCTACACTATCAAAGACTGGAATCCAAAGCAGCAAAATGATGTTTCCCATTGTTACAATAATTCCAATTCCAGGTATGTAGACTTTTACATTTTTTTTCTAATTCTGCTGCAAATTGGCACTCGGTGATTGCCAGGAATGAGAAATGGATTGGGTTTTCCACGGTGCTGTGCTCCCGGTCAGCCTGAAAACACGGGAAATGGCAGGTTAATGACAGTTTAACACCAATTAACAGGCCACTTTATAATAGATTGCATTCGGAGTCTGTTCAATGGGTAATTACAATAATTAACTCTCGAAGCTTGCCTGCACTTGTGAACAGAAATTTGGTGCCTCTGTTTACTCTGAGAAGGCAATGCAGGAGCAGGCATGGATCATTTGGAGTGCTGGAGCCAGGCAGGATGGCAAGGGCACTAAATTCGGGCTTGCTGCTGCAATGTGCTCACAGGTGACATCCCCAGGTGGAGGGGACTCTGTCAGTGACTGTTTTAGTCCTGGCTGAGCACAGCTGAGATTTAGTGTGTTGCTGGGAGAGGCACCTGTGCTGCAGAGCAGCTCTGCATCCCTGGCTATTGGAATCTGAGGTATTGATGATTCTGAGATTGTAGAAAGTCTCTGTCTGTCAGCCCCGCTGCCAAAGCAGAAGCCATAATTCATCTGTGCTGTTTCAAGGCTGTTTATTCTGTTTATCTCTAACATGTTCTGCTGCCCTGCCGCAGCTCTGTCCTGCAGGGCAGCGTGTGGGGCTCTGCCCTCAGTGGGATGGTACAAACATTAAATACCAGAAACTACCTGTGCTGGATTTACAATAACGTGCCAATATCTGTCACCTACGTTGGACAGTGTGTCCCCAGCCTGAACCAACAGAAAAATGCCAACACCACAGTGAAACATGGAGGGCATGAAGAAGGAGAAAAAGGACAAGACACACCCAATTTCCTCCATCTTGTCCCCTTTGGACTTAAAATTTTACTTTTGCACCCGTGCCACACTTAATTATTACTTATATCAAACACTGAGAGCTTGTAATTCACCCTGTAAGATTGAAAACTCTTTTCCATGGACAGAGATCACAGCCAGTGTCTCTGGGGGCTCTGTCCAGGGGGGTTCCTGACCCCTGCCAGGGTCCCAGACCTGCCAGGGCAGCCAGAGGGAAGCTCTGGATTCCCACACCTGGCCTCACACAGATGGATTTCCCACCTCCTTGGGTTCTTTTCAGCATTCAGAATCTCTACCTTGAACCAATGGAAAAGTGTCACCGTCACACCAAGACATGGAGGACAAGAAGAAGGAGAAGAAGGCCAGGACACACTGAAATCCCCCCATCCTGACCCCCTGAATTATGTTCTAAAAATCTCAAATTTCTACTTTTCCACCCTGTGTTAATTCAAATATCACACTAATCAAACCCTTGTGGTTTTTAATTCCTCATACAAAATCGGCAGTTTTTGCCATGGGCTAAAATGGAAGCCACAGGTGTTTGTGACTTTGTGCCAGGGTCTGTGAGCCCCTGCCAGGGTCTGGGGACAGCCAGGGCAGCCAGAGGGATGTGCTGGACCCTGACAATGCCCCAGGTCAGACATTAACCCTTAATGACCCATATTTCTGTGCCACAGATCAAACATTGCAGCGGGTTTGGGGTGCTGTCCCAGGGAGTGGAACACTTCGGACCTCGGAGCTCTTGCTCTGGTGAAAAGCTGCAGACAAAACTCCCCAGCAAATGTCTTCATAATACTTAACATTCAATGGAGCAAAAGGAGAATAATGAGCACTGCAGCCATCCCAGGTTAGTAATTACTGCCGTCATTATTAATTTTCCAGAGCAATCTCGTCAAATGAGTCATTATTATCTCAATTCCTTAGCCAGGACTGATTGATTCTTTCTCCCTGTTGTGACTAATTCCATATAATGTCTGAGTACAATATAGAACTATAGAGCCAGTGTAATTCCAAGGCAGGATAATTCTGAATAACCAAATCACTTGCCTTCAGCTCTGTTTAGATCCGATGCTTTATACTACTTAATTGAAATAAATACCCCAATCCTGTCACTCCCTACTCTCCACAGCCACTGGAATTCCACTGAAGACAGGGATTCCTGGCAGCCTGGGCTCTGCCCTGGGTGTTTCAGTGCTGGATCCGTGCTGGCAGCAGGCAGGAGCATCACAGCACTCACAGGAGCAGCTCCGTGTGCTCTGAAGGAAGTGCTGGTCATCCTCAGCTCTTCCTGATGTTACTTTGCACCATTTTTAAGGAAAGTTTTGTTGGTTTGTCTGTCTGTGAAGGGTTTGTTTTTTTGGTTTTTTTTTTTGAGGAAAGGCTAAAAGTGATGTTTTTTTAGCTCCCCTCTTTTTTAGGGGAGGTTCAGATTGGGTATGAGGGGAAATTTCCTCATGGAAAGGGTTATCAGGCATTGGAACAGGGCAGTTGTGGAGTCACCTTCCTTGGGAGTGTTTTAAAAAACCTGAAGGTGGGACCTGAGGATGTTGTTTGGTGGTGAGGGTGGTGCTGCTGGGCTGGTGGTTGGACCGATGAGTGATGGTTTTTTATCTCTGTCTGCAGCTGAGTGTCAGCAGAGCTGAGCATGAAGAAGTGCAGTGCAGGACAAGGAGAGGGGTGGCTGTGGGGATGGGATTGTGGCTCCTGCCTCTCTGGAAAGGGCGAGCAGAACAATTACCCATCCTTTTTTAGGAATTGGAAGCCTGCTCCTTGCATTTCCCTTGAGCTGCAGGGAAGGGAAGGAGGAGGAGACCGCAGTTATTTCACAGCTCTGACCCTTTTGCCTCCCAGACTTCAAACACGATCAGACTGGAGAGGGAAAGGAGGAGGCTGCAGAGCCAGGAGGAGCAGCAGGGGCACCCTCAGCACTGGAATTTCTCAGAGCAGGAAGGTGTGATGGTTTAATCCTGAACCACAGGCAGGGGTGAGACATTCCCTGGCCCTGCTCTCAGCCTTGGCTTTGCCTCCCTAAAACCAGCCCTACCCCAGCAGCATCCTCGTGCCAGCAGGGATTGTGCCTGTGCTGACATTTAGGGATATTGGAGCAGGTTGCTCTGGATTGGATTGGGAGAATTAAAAATATTGAATTGGACAGTAAATAAAAGAAGAGAGGTCACTGCCATCCAGCACTCCTTTATTTCTGGTTATTTAATGAGGCAGTTCCATATTGAGTGCTTTAGTGCTGAGTTCAAAATTCCCTTCTGAGCCCCTGGGAGCAGAACTTGGCCGTGCCCCCAGAGCCTCTGCCCTGGTGGGTGTCAAGATGGAAATGCAGCAGGGACTGATGTTGTGCATGGCATCCAGCCAGCCCTGTGTCACCTCTCCCCCAGTGGGTGTGTCCTGTCCTGTTCCTCAAGGTGTTAAAATTTCATTATTTTAATCCAGATTTTAATAGGAACCCCCCATAATATTGTGCCCCCTTCTTGCAGGTGTGTCTCTGCTGTAAATTCCTGCTTTTTCTGATGTTCCTCCCTGCTTCAGCCAGCAAGAACAAACAGAGAGGATAATTTTACATATTATTTCTCTTATTTACAGTAAAAACAACACCCTGCTTGTCGTTATTAATTAGATATTTTACTAGGCTTGAGATGGTGAGATTAAAGCAAACCTTGAGCTGATGGGAGGGCACTTTTGGTAGCCACAGATGGGCCCAGAGCTGGTGGCACAGTTGGTGCCCCAGAGCAGGAGCTGACCTGTGTCCAAACCCCTCCTGCATCCAGGGCTGTGAGCAGTGGAAACAGACTGCTAAAGGATGCATTTGTAGGAAAAACAAGTTGAGGTTTGGAGTGGTACAACCTTACCCCCAGTTCTGGTATTACAACAATTTCAATATCAGTTAATGTAACTTCTTGTATCCAGCCAAGCTGGGAGATAAATCTCTGTGTTTTTATAATAGATGTTCCTTTATGGCAATCACCATATGCTACCTCTGGTCCTGTTTGGAGTGTAAATCATAACAAATGTGGATCCTAAAATGCTTTATTGTCTTTTTATGGCCACATACGGCTGCTGCTCCTTCCATTTGTGATTAATTTTTTTTAATGGTTCCCCTTAGAACCTAAAAAATAATTAAAGCTAATGAATACTCTGTGGTGACAGTAAAGGAAGGAGCATATTGCATCTCTTCTCAGTCCCCAGATCTGATCAAAAGCGGGCTGGAGCTGTGAAGTTGTGACACTGACATTTTTTTCTGAGCTGCCGACCACCTCCTGAGACCAAATGACGACTTTGGGGAAGAGCAGGAATTAGAGTTTTCATTGTTTCACAGCAATAGTGCTGAGAGGGTGGAATTAAAAGCAGTTGAAGTCACAATGTTTATTTCTTAGCAAATCCTCTTTAAAGAAATCAATCCAAGATGTAAAGGACTTTAAGACAGATTTTTTTTTCCTTGTCCTTGCCCCGGGGTGCATGAAGTGAGATATTTTATGCACTGGGACTGGTCAAAATACTGATTTCAACCCAACACAGAGCAGAGCCCCTTTTCCTTTCCAAGGCTGCAAACCACAGGTCTGTGTGTCCTTCCAGGCTGGGGTCCCTGGCTCAGGGAGCTGCAGTGCTGAAAATCAGAGGAAATCCCCAGGAAATCCCTGGCAGAAGCTCCCCAGTGCCACTAATGCCACCTGCACTGCAGATCCAGAGCTGGGACTCTGCTGCCAGGCTTTTATCTGCCCTCCAGAAACTCTTGAGTTTGGTTTCCTTGTTCTTCCCCTCCAGTGCACTTGGGCCTTGAACTTCTGCATGTTCTGCATGGGAGTACAGCCAGCGTTGAGCACTGCTTAAAAAGCTTTAAAATTCACTTCTCAAAACTAATATTTATCTGTAAAGGCTGTAATTAGAGTGTGGGGGGTGTTGCTGTGCACGTAGCTGCCTCTCTCTGGGCTTCCTGCAGCTCACAGAGGCTTTGAAATGAAACTTGAGGGGAAGAATTGTGAATAACCAACCCCAAGCGCTGGACTGGGGTTAAAGTGTCAATGCTCAAAGGTCCCATCCCATGGGGACTGGCCAGGGCTGCAGCTGTGGGGACAGATGGAAAAACTCCCCAGGTAGCTCTTGGCATGGTGTCACCTCCTCCTTCACTGCTGGGTGTGAGCACACGGGGCTTGGAATTCACTGGGAATTTTCATCTCTGCTTTTCACGCCCCATGTGGTACTGGCTCCTCCTCTTCTCCTTCTCCTTCTCCTTCTCCTTCTCCTTCTCCTTCTCCTTCTCCTTCTCCTTCTCCTTCTCCTTCTCCTTCTCCTTCTCCTTCTCCTTCTCCTTCTCCTTCTCCTTCTCCTTCTCCTTCTCCTTCTCCTTCTCCTTCTCCTTCTCCTTCTCCTTCTCCTTCTCCTTCTCCTTCTTTTTCTCCTTCTCCTTCTTTCTCTTCTCCTTCCTTCTCTTCTCCTCCTTTGCAGCTTCAACCTTTCCGCCCTCCCAACTTCATGGCCAGTTCCCAGTTACATCAATTAATCGTTTTCTTCCAGGACACCTTTAATGACAAAACCAAGCAAATAAAGGATCATTAAGAATTACCATCATCTGCAGAACTGGTGGGAGAAGGAGTTGCCTTGCAGTTAAATCACTGGTAGAGCCCTAAAATTAAATCCCACCTTCTGAATTCCAGTTTGACATCTGAAGCTGGATACTCTTGCTTCTATTTTATGCTTTATGTTGATTCATTTCTGGTTGTATGAGTATTAATTGGTTAAGTCAATTTGTTTTGCAAAATGGAAAACCGAGCTTTAAGAAAGCACTTTTTAATTTGCAAGTGTTCATTCCAAAGGGAGAACAATTTATAGTTAAAACCTGAAATGTATGAGGAAAAAGGTCATTGAAGTCAATGTCAAGGTGGTCAAACTTTACTGTCCTGGCTGCCTTTTTAAAAAAAAAACTTTGATGACCATAAAGTTGCCATTTTCTGTAGTAGGTTCCCCGTGAGCTTCCCCCTGTATAGTTGTACAGTATCATGAGTTAAAGTGAACCAAATTAAGCTGTTGTGGCATATAAAAACAGCCAACAAAGGCAGGCAGCTTTTTTCCTGAACCCCCTGAGATTTATTCTGACAGTTTGCAACTCGATGAAATGGATAATGGAAGTCCCTTGTCACAATAACTCAGCTTTAAACGTATTGTTGGATTAATAGACTCAGTTATCCACCCTTCCAAGGAGAAAAATGACTTGTGGTTTCAAATCAGGCCCTCACTCCTGGCATCCCATCAAATTAGCCAAACAGGCCAAATTTAAACCCCTGGCAGAAGCCAGGCACTCTATGAGTTGTGTCATAAAAACGAGTTTATTTCTTTTTAATGCTTCCCAGTTGCCATGACAGCAGCTGTGGGTGACACACGGTGGTGGTGTGAATCCCTGGAGGCAGGGACATCCCAGGGGAGGGACATCCCTGTCCCCTTCCCAGGGCAGGGAGCTCACTGGGGTGGGACACGGGGCTGATTTCCTTGGCTGCAGATCGCCCTGGGGAGTGGGAATTCACAGCTGGGGGAAACAGCTCCTGCCTTGCCTTTCCCCGGGCTTGGGGAGTGTCGGAACTCAAAATGTCCCTCAGACATTTTTGGATGTTCCGGGCCCAGGTCAGAAGCATTTGAGACCCTGGCAGGCAGCTGGAAACAGCTGTGATTTTGGGTTTGAGCCATGGAATGATTCACCAACCTTGCAGGAAGAACAAGAACTCACAAAAGTTTAGATATTATAGTAGAAGTAGTCACAAAGTAGAGGGAAGAATTTCTGAGTGCTGTACAGGGGGGTTTTGGTTTTGTACATGGGGGTCAGAGGTTTAAGATGGAGGGATTTGGGCCTGCCCTGTCCTCCCTCTTTCTCCTTCCTCACCTCCATGTTCTTGGTGATGTTGGCACTCCCAGATTGGTTTAGAGTAGAAAGGCACCATTTAATATAGGTAATAGGCACTGGGGAAAACTGTAAACATGTAACACGTAATGTACCATATAAAAGATAGAAAAGCACCATTTAATATAGGTAATGGGCATTGGGGACAAACTGTACCCATGTAACATGTAATGTACCATATAAAAGACAGCAGCAGCCCTGGGCAGAGGGGGAGAGAAGAAGCAGTCGGGAGTCAGAGAGGATGTCAGGGTGTGTGTGTGCCTCTGCCTGAGCTGTGAGCAAACCACAGCAGCTCCAGGAGAAAATCTTTTAGATAACTTGCAATAAACTGCCTTGAGACCGGACAGCAGAGACTGCTGAGCCTTTCTTTGGAAGCTCGGGCTGGAGGAGAGACTTTTCCACCACACGGAGCCACCCCAAACTAGGGTGAGCTCCGGCAGTGGAGCATTCAATGGAATTAACTCGCACACACCTGGGGAAGCTCTCCAGGCAGAATCCACCTTGGCCATGTCACTCCTACCTCCCTTGTCCTTGCACTCAATAACCCCACGAGGAAATTTCACTCTTTGTAAGGTCTTGGTTCAGCCCTACATGAGCCAGACACGAACCCCTCACTGGCACAGGGTGCCCAGAGCAGCTGGGGCTGCCCTGGATCCCTGGCAGTGCCCAAGGCCAGGCTGGTGAGGTGCCCTGGGATGGTGGAAGATGTCCCTGCCCAGATCTGCCCAGAAGGTCTGGAAGGGTTCTCCAGGTGGCTGTGTGGAAATTGGTGATGGGAGCATTCAAAGGACCCTCAGAGCAGCCAAACTGCTGAGCACAGCACATCCCTGAAGCACAGGGAAGAGCTTTTATTTTAAACTGTGACCATGAAACAGGAAAAAGCTTCTGCCTTTTGATTTTTGCCTTTAACATGTTAAAGTAGAGGCACCTGCTGCCTGCTGGGCTGATTAAATATGTCCTTTTATTTTCATAAGTCACCACGGTAGAATTTGAATTATTTACTCGGTAAACTCAAGGCTACGTTCATTTACATTCGCCACCAAGGTTTTTGTGCATTAGTTTTGGAAGCTTTTTCTTTCCCACCTTTTGTTCAGTGCCCACCTTGGCTCCCCAAGCAGGATCCCTCCCCTTGGTGACTGCAGGGGTTTCGTGAACTTCAAAAGCAGCCAGGAACATCAGGCACACGCAGCTGAATTATGGATCAGAATGCAGCACATCAAACATTCAGGATTATTCACTTGTGGGTCTTTGCTTGGTAAAGCAATAAAAATCCCTGCATTTCTGCTTTGCTGAGATGTGGGGTGGTTGTTTTACATGCTCCAGAGTAATGTTAGCAGGGGTGTGGGGGGATGTGGGATTTTTTTTTCAAGCGAGGCACTTCAATCAAAGCTTCATTCTACTGTAAACCCAATTAGCTGCAGTCTGCCAAGTCAGCTGCACTGCCTGCAAGAATGTGTGGAAGGCTATGAATAATTGCTAAACTCGGGCTTCATTCTATCTAGGAAATGCCACGAGGCTTTTGTTAGCCCCAGATAAAACCCTGTGCTTGGCTCTGAGGTTCCAGCTGAAGGAACACCTTCAGAACCCAGAAATGTGAGCAATGTGTTTGAGCAGGGCTTTGTGTGTGGGGAGGCACTCTGCTTTGCTCTGGAGCAGAACCTGGATCCTCCAAACACTCAGGGATGGTGCCAGGGGGCAGGAGGAGAGGTTCCATGGCTCTGCTCACGTTTAAACAGGGGATTTTTTTTTCCCCCAGATATGGCACTGTATAAAGTATCACAAGGTCACTCCCTTCTTTTGTAACACCTGCCAAAAATAACGTTTGAAAAATGGAAAAACTTTGATAGGAAAATATTTTTACTACAGGGGAAGAAGTGATTTTGGCTGATTTTATGGTATCAGCTCCATAAACAAATGCCAGTTTT